GTTTACCACACAGCAGAGAAAATTAATGACATCTTGAAATTTGCAGGCAAATGGATGGAGCTAGAAAACATCATATTGAGTGAGGTAACTCAGTCCCAGAAAGACAATTATCATATTACTCTCTCATAAGTCGTTTTTAAACTTAAAGTAACGAAAAACCAGCTGACAAATCACAATCCCAGACAACCTAGACAACAATGAGAACCCTAAGAGAGACATATATGGACCTAATCTACATGGGAAATAGAAAAAGACAAGATCTCCTGAGTAAATTGGGAGCATGGGGACCATGGGAGAGGGTTGTACGGGAGGAGAGAGGCAGGGAGGGGAGCACAGAAAGATGTATAGCTCAATAAAATTATAAAAAAGAGTGTTTAGATCATACAGAAACTCCTCTGAACCAATTCAATATTGTCATTTGCCTTTCTTTAAAATTTTACAGAATCCTTTCCTAAAATATTATAGAATCCTTCGAGTTTAAGTGTATAAAATAATGTCACATGGGAAGAGCTAGAAAATTTAGCAGACATCATTCATTTGGAAAAATTAAAAATGGCCCTTTCCCCCAGAGTTGAAAGGTGCCGTACCAAGCCCAGTGCTACCTCCCCTTTTATAATCTTAAATACTGCTCTCAGGTGGGTGCAAATAGACTGTAGGGACCACTTTTCATTGCGATTGCTTTTTTAAACTGAAGCCTCATACTCACCTTGGATAGACAAACTCATTCCCTGAGCCTGCTCTCATTTGTTTTGAGGCATTTCTCTCCTTTCTGGGAAATGTCTGCCTGGTGCTGTCTCTGTGTGCTGCAGGTAGAGTTAAGTATTCCATTAACACTGAACAACTCACACACAAATAGATAGTTTAACCTTAGATTATTTCCCCAAGGCCAGAAGAGGATGGTACAATAGAAACAGAATTGGGTGAGCTGGTAGAGTATTTAGTGGAATCTTAAAAGAAATGTTTGTCTCTCTGGGCCCGCCTGGTGGTGGCTGGAATGCAGCTCAAACACTTTAGCTCTTTGTAAATCTTTATTCTCTGTCCCTGACTCAAGCTTCCTCATATCCCTGGCTGTCTGAATTATGCACAGGATGGGCTACAGTGACCCACTGGGATGCATCAATCGCTTCTTAGATCTCATTTATGCTTCTATTATTCTACGGCCACTGAGAAGCCCACTGTAATTTTCCATTAGAGTATCACACAGGAAAACAGGATGCCTTGTTTTGAAAGCATGAAGGCATCAATGAAAGGCAACAGATTTTAAAGAAAGGCAAATGACAAAAGTATGAAACTTGTCGTGCACGAAACCCGAGAGGATTCCCTGTTGATAACGATGCTTCTCTTATGATTTCTAAACCTTCCAACACCCCCTCTGTACCAAGCAGTGTGTTTTCAGATGATGGTGGTAATGACGACAATGACAGCAATTAATGTTTGTTAAAGACTCAAATCCATGAATAGGAAAGACTTGGGTTCTGCTTTCATGGGCGTGGACATGTAGTAGGCAGTTGTAACAAACAGTTTAAACTATTATCAGAACTACTTTAAACTTTAGGTATACTAGGAGGTTCTTACAGGAGGCTTCCTTGAGGATGTGACATGCAGGAATAATCTAGACAAAGGCGGTATGGGAATAGGAGAGGTCCTTCCAAGAAAAGTGAAGCCTACATGCAGGAGCTATCATAAAACAGGGAGTCAATGGTTTTGAGTCAAAGAGGAAAAGGAAAAGGAAAATTTAAATTGAAGAAACTGCTGAAGCATCAATTGCTTGAGTGGGGAGATGAGTCTAGAAGCAAGACAGGAACAAACTTATGCTCAACCAAGTCGGCACTGGGCTTTTTACCCCAAGAGCATGAGGAGTCACTGATGAGCATGAAGGGAGAGAGTAGCATGACCAGATTTGAGTTCTATGATGACCGTGAGTGGTTTGGAAGAAGACAGAGATAACGGCTGCTTGGACTGGAGACGTGGATGCTTCCATGAAATCTAAGTTAGTCTTGTGAACTTAGATGTTATTACCCATACTAACTTAGATTTCATAGAAACATCCACTTTAAGTAATTTTCCATTCTCAAAACCTCAGATCTACTGCTTTGCCAGAGTCACATGAAGTCAATGGAAGTGCCGATGAGAAGTGTCAGTAGATAGTGAGGAAAAGAAAAAACTACAAAGGCTCAACATAGAGAATCTTGATTTAGGTCTTAAGAAATGAACAGGTATAGCATAGAGAAAAGACTGGTACGCCTATGCTCAAGTTGCGGCAGATGCTATTGTGAATATTGGCCTGGGATTGCACACTCAAGAGAATACGAAGAAAAAACTGCCAATGAACTGAGACAGTGTTTGCTTCATAAGCATGAGCGCCTGAATTTAGATCCTCCAAGCAAGAAATCAAGAAGAGTGCTGTATATTTGCAATCCCAGAACTGGGACACAAAGACTGGAGGATCTGCAGGGCTTGCTGACCATTCAAATGAGTCTAACCAATGAGCTTCAGGCAAAATGAGAGATTATGTTTCAGAAGCTAAGATGAAGAGTGATTAAGGAAGACATTCAATGTTGACCTCTAGCCTCATGCACACCCGCACACACATACATGCTCATGAACACATACACAGAGACAGGGGGAGATGGGAGGGCTATTGGCTATTGGGATGCTTCTGATGAACTTCCAGTTGTTCGCAGGAGCTGGAAGGCAGGATGATGTGGTAAATAACAGCATCAGCCTTTAAATCAGACAGACCTGGGTTCTAACCCAACCCTGTCCATTCCCTCCGAGTCGTTTTTATATGGGTTGCTTCCCTGAGCTTTAGCACACCGGTCATCTAAAGAAAGGAGGAATAGTGCTCCCGCCCACAGAGTCATAAGCACTAAACAGGATAAACGTGTGAAGGACTCAGCTCCATGTAGGTACAACATAAACCCTCGGTGTTAGTTGTTCTTGTTTGTGCTTCATTAAGGTTATAGTGACAGAAATGTTAGCACTTGCTCAGAGTGCGGGTTAACTATGGTGGACACAAGGGTATGTCACACTGTCATACTCAACAGTAGAGCATCCAAAGAAATAGCGTTGATAGCCAGGTGATCAGAGTTCAGGTTACAGATAGGACTTTGAGAGTTGTACATTATAGGGTCTCAGCAAGCCGTGACTAAATAAACTATATTACTGGGAAATGATAGTATTTAAACAAACACATCCATAGGCAATTTTGGTCAAGCCCCATAAATGTTCTATTTCTGTGAGAGCACCTGTTTTATTAAATACATCTCACAACCAAAATTTATACATTGGGTAACATTCCATAAAAATTTGACATGTAGGTTATTTAACTGTTGCAATTATTAGATTTTTTTTAGTGTGGGTCAAAATTCACTCATCTTCAAATATATCAAATGTTCCTATAGTGAGCTCTTCGTGTGTGAGATATAAATACCTTGAAAGCCTGATTATTTTCATTAAAAAGAATTCTATATTGTCGCCTTCCATAGAAGACAATTTCAAAAGCATTTTTTTTTCTTTTGGTTTTTTTTGAGACAGAGTTTCTCTGTAGCTTTGGAGCCTGTCTTGGAAGTAGCTCTTGTAGACCAGGGTGGCCTCGAACTAACAGAGATCCACCTGCCTCTGCCTCCTGCGTGCTGGGATTAAAGGCGTGAGCCACCACCACCTGGCTCCAAATACGTTTTTATATGCATTGTTGTTTGAAATTTCATGAGGTTTAGAAAGTCCATACAGTCCATTCATGACCCGATCTCCAGGACTTCAGATCAATATCAGTAATATAAAATATGTCAATATGAAGCAGAACACAGACGCTGAAAGGCCTTACTGGAACAGTTGAAGAGAGGAAACACCTCTATACTACTGCTGACACATGAATATGTTTATAATATGACACAGTCCCAGTTCTTTCATCTATTTGGCAGAATATCATTTTTACGTCCCATATCAGTGTGTCTCTGAATTGAGCTGAGGAAGATGGCATGTGCGTGCTGTGCCATATTTTTATTTTCCTTAGTGAACAATGTCTCAGCAGGGGTCTCAGTTCACTGCCCCCTCCATGTGAGATCTTGAATCCTGGAAACCTAGGACATTCCTGGCTCTAACTCTGCTGTCCCCTCCTCCCTTGTGCCTGCCTAAGGCACTGTTCCGTTTGACAAAATACACAGCATGACTCACCGCTGCACTCTGCAGCCACTTAATGGAGAAAGGATAATGCATAGCGACACCAGAAGTAAGCTCAATACATTTAACATGGAATACAGCGTCAAGATTAGTAACATGAAATCAGAGTATTCACAGCATTGGGCAAAGTATACTCTCATCCCAGGATATCTTAAACTTACCCTTTGTACAGTTTTAACTACTGAATTTTAATCACAAAGACATGTTTTAGTATTCAATTCTCAGCTTGATATTATTTGTGCATGCCTAGTTGGACATTGCCTCAAGAATTCTATCTACTAGGGAGCCACCAAGATAACTTAAATAAAGGTGATTGCCACCAAGACGATGAATTGAGTTCAATTCCCAGGACCCACACAGCGAAAGGAGACATGTGACTCCTACAGGTTGTCTCCTGATCTCCACATGTACATCATGGCCTATGTGCTCCCCAACCACCCACTCATACACACACACACACACACACACACACGCACGCACGCACGCGCACACACACACACACGCACGCACACACACACACGTACTATGTAACTATAGTAACATTTTTGGAAAAAAAGAGGAAAAGGTACTAGGTTCTCAATATGAAGCAAAATAACTGTTCTGTACACTCGGTTTGTCATTCCTATGTATTTCCTTCTGAGGGCAGAACGTGCTTGAATACAAACAAGCATATGCCAACGTCTGTGTCTGCACACTTTGTTTGCATGCTAGTGCCTTTTGATGCTTAAAATGGGCTCAATCATTGCAAATGAAAATGTTTTAGACAAGTAAGTAAACGAGTGCTGTCTGTTAGAGCCCTTTCTGTTTCTCCCTGGTAGCTCCATCATCCTTCTCAAGGCTTCCGTTTCGGAACTGTCCGGGAAAGCAGTGCTGAGGACTACGTGCGGCAGAGCTTCCCAGAGATGCATGAGTACATGAGAAGGTACAACGTACCAGCCACCCCTGACGGAGTGCAGTATCTGAAGTGAGTGTCAGTCTCTTGGGCCCTAAAAGTTCCGATGAGAGAGACATCCTCTGGGGTTTGCCTTTTTGTTTTTCAATATGGTGAACAAAAATCCCTAGTGCTGTGTTCAGAAATAATACATTCGGGGTCTGTACAGTTGACTCAATCAAATGCTTGCTGTATAAGCATGAGGAACCGGATTTGGATCCCCAGCAACTGTGTGAGACTCAAGACACAAACATCCCAGTAATGAGTGAGGAAAGACAAGAGGATTCCGGGGTCCTGTTGGTCAGTTCGTCTAACCAAGTCAAGGAACTTCAGGTTCGATGAGAGAGAGACCTTGTCTCCAAAGCTGAGGAAAACATGATTGATGAAGATACTACATGTCAGCTTCTTTTAGCCTACACAAGCACATACACAAACATACAAACACATACACATAAGCACACAAAAACACAACCTACATTACCTAGACATAGATTACCAGTTACCTGCACAGTCTATAGTTTGTGATACAGTTGGTAAACAGCCAGCAGGGTCATTAGTGGAGTAAATGGCAAGGGAAGAAAATGTTGGCTTGAACAACAATGCTGAGATGATTAAACACACAGGAAATGTGGCCAAAGGATAAAGTGTCCCAAAGCAACCTTTCCCTTCAAAGTGGATCCCTGAGCCCATGGAATGCCTCATTTTTGCCACAAGGAAATGGAAATTTATCTCAGAGATTTCCTGTGGGAAAGAAATAAGATGGAAGGCAGTGACTCCTATGCCTGCATCCTTCCCATCAGAATTTATGAGAAGCAATCAAAGGCAATCATGTTGCCATGACAGATTATCAGAGCCTGTAATTCATTAGAGTCAAATGCCAAGCAGCGCAGTGATGGGTCTGCCTGCAAGAAGGGACTGAATGGCTTTCAGTTTCTGCAAGAGAGGTGCTCTCTCTCCTACCTGATGGCATCAGGACAAAAAATTGCATCCAACCTCCTAATAATCCCCACCTTAGCTTACCATTATCATCGGGAAACCAGTTTCTCCATCTTAATGTTAAAGAACTCATTTTTCTAAAAGGAAAGAAAGCAAAAAAAAAAAACACCACCAACAACAACAACAAAAACAACTTTCATAGGATATAAGGGCTTTGTGTTCCTTGAGAGATCTAGTAAAAGCCCCTTTAGCGATTTTATGGATTTTTAAAACTAGAACTCAGAAAGGCAGGAAGCTGTGTGCTCTTAGGTTCACAAAATTATTTCTGATGCTTACGTGCTACAAAATGACACTTAATTTTGCAAAAACATCAAAACATTAGAGTCCCTTTCTGACACACTTCAGAGCTCCATTGCCTCCCAGACTCTCTTCAGCTTTCTCTCCAGACAATTGCCCAGGAGTGAGAGAGAGGATGGGATGCCAGACAGATAGCCAGGGCTCCCAGCTAGCTGTCAGCAGATGACAAACAGGACTCTACCAGCCGTGTGACAGGATGAGGTGATACTTTCCAGAGTGCCCAGCAGCTTCCCTGCACTCAAAGCTTTTGTTTCTCCCAGGGACTCCACTTGAGAAGGCCTTCATCTGATGCCCCGTGTCACAAAGGTAGGACATTTCCTAAAGTGATAAGGCAGAATATATACAAAAGCTAGGATTCTAGCTTCATGCTATTTCAGAAACCATAATGAAAGAGTCTTAATAATATATATTAATAATAATATATTATTAATATATATATAATATAATAATGAAAGATGACTTAAGAATAATCCAAGGTCCAACTGTACCCATTGTGTAGTCGATAGGAGGGAGCCAGACAGAAGGACAGAATCTTGAGCCCTGCCCCAAACCAAACTTCCCAGGTGACTCCTTGATTGACATGAAACAGGAAGACAGGCAGAGTTTATTGTCAGTGTCTCCTCACTTCTTTCTGGGTCGATCACCACCTTTGGCCTAGTCATTGAGGATGCTCTTAGGCAACACTCCAAGCAACCACAATTTTCATGCCATCTCATGCCCCCAGCATTCTAGCGTTCTGACCTACAACATTCACATTCAGGGTCATCTATGTAGGATGCTCATTTATTTTATTACGTTAGTGCCTGCTGATTTTGTAGTATGTACAATGTAGTTTTCAATGAATGCCTTTAAGACATGATTCTACCACAGAATAAGTCAAAGGCTCTGCCAACCACAAAAGTGATTTAGCCAGCCTAGAATTACTAATGACTGGATCACACCAGTTTACTTCCTCCCCAGTGACTCAGGTCCTCTGGAAGTCTATGAGTTCACTGCTTCTGGTCTTTTTATGGCATAGAAATCAATCAAGACCAACTACCGTCACTATGCAGTTCAAAACCGTGAGTACTTATACAAGGATATCAGTGATGCAGGACCTCAGGAATTACTGGTTTCAAAACGTGTATATGAGCCTCAATGTTTTTTTTTTTCTATTTGCCCTAGTTTTAGCAGAGACATTTATGGACTATTGGCGTGTTGCTATGAAGTCCTTTTCAAAGTGCATTCTCTTCCTGTGGCAATGAAATTTTGATTAAGAATACATCTTCAGACTAGATCTTGACTTTATTACATGGATTCAATTCAGATGCCCCATAGACAACTCCTAGGAAATAATTCATGCTCCCCGGACCTTTTATGAACTTCCTCTTTCTAGGGATCTGTGTAGCATTTCTGTGTTAGTTGATGTTAAATATGTCAAAACTAAGTTATTGTAACTTAAGTAAAATAGTCCTGAAAAGAGAGATGTATTCTGCAGTATCGGTTCCACTTCCCGGAAGAATGAGAAAACCATTCAGTGTCAATGCATGCCAAAGAGAACCATTCATTATGTATTCAGGCAGCATTCACAACTCTTGCCTGGTGGTGAATCTCATCTGTGTCCATGGATATCCTTCTCTTTCAAATTGGTAGTGAGCCTCAACCATATCCTCCTCTGAGATTAGAGGCTGCTTTTCTGTGTTACAGCTGCACAACCTCACTCTGGTTTTAGGAGTGGAAAGACTGAGGCTCCATTAAATAAAGAGGTGTTGTTTTGCAAATCTGCTTAAACAATTCTTATCGCTGCAAAGTCTTTGGGAAACTATTTAAAGGGGAATGAGATGGTGAGAGGAAAGAGGGAAGAAGGAGAGAGAGGATGTGATCATTAGTAAAGGGAAACTCTTAAGTAGATTGGGGAGAGAAAACAGCAAAGAAAGAGAATATGATAAAACGATTCCATGCATGAATAAAAATATCAGAATGAATGAGAGTGGCGGCTCAAGCCTAAACTCTACTTATCACGAGATGGAGGCAGACGTGAGGAAATTTGAAGTCAGCCTAGAATATGTGGTAAGACTTTGTCTGAAACAGAGTGGGAAAGGAGGAAAAGAAGGAAGAAATCAAGGGAGGTAAGAAGGTTAGGAGGGAGGGAGTAGGACGGAGAGTGGAGGAAAGAAGTTTCACAATGAAACCCATTATTCTTTATAATTAATATACATTAATAAAAAGAGAAGAAGAAAGCTTAATTATATAAATTCTATCCTTCAATGAAAGGGATTTGGGATGGCTAAAAACAAAGAAGTTGCCTAGCTGGCGTCCTTTCAAACTCTGCAGTCCCTGAAAGGGTTGTCCAGCCTGTAACGAATCATAGTTTTCTGCTAGGCCACATCTGCACCCATATTCAAAACAACAGAGAACTCTCATGAAGACACCTAAGACATTTAATAGCAACTTAAGCCAATCGTCAATTAACTAGTACAAGCCTAGTGGACCTAACTTAAATTATTCTGAGCTACCTTTGAAGTGGTAAAAAAAAAAGGGGGGGGCTCTCTGGAGACAGATTATTAAAGTGAACCGCTAAGATTACATAAACTTCACCTTCAATCTATTTGATGTTATCCCATGGACTTAAAGAGACCACAAATTTCTTTTCTCCAAGAACTCTAGATCTTTTCTAAGTATTTCTTTGGGATCTATTCCCAAATATAAAATTATAGTCAATTTCTGAATAACAAAATGGTGATTGTGACAGGAAGAAACAAAAGTTTCACATCTGATTCACAAGAATACTTGTCTCCAACACTCAACCAGGTGTGTGGCCTAAATCAAAACACTTCAGATTTCTGAGCCTCATCCCCATCGTCATTCCAGTCCTGATAAATAATTAAATGTATGCAGCACGCTGAATGCAGAACTTACCGCAAATCACTTTGATAAATAGTAGAAATCAGCCTTCCCTGTGCACCTTCCTGTGCAATTAGGAGTTACAGTTGTCTTTGATGTTGGCCTTAGTAGTCAAAAGGGAAGTTGGTAGATAAGCCCATGGGGAAAAACTTCTGCACACTAGAAAGAATGCCTATACCCCTGGTATCTACAAGTGAATGAGATACCAACAAGGGCCAGCAGCTGGTAAGAATGTACTGTCCTTGGTAGTCAAGTTTCTGTTCCCAAATAAGGCCAACTTCCTACTCAGTAACGAACCACTTTTGCTTTTCTTCCCGTTGGTTCTAATCATAGGAATGATCCAGAGAAACTAGATGCCTTCATCATGGACAAAGCCCTTCTGGATTATGAAGTCTCAATAGATGCCGACTGCAAGCTCCTGACTGTGGGGAAGCCATTTGCCATTGAAGGTATCAATAATTCTTAGTTCCCTTTTGCCGAGGATGCGCTGTTTGCTAACCTAGGAAGTCACAGGTGCCAGAAGCGGAGAGTGATTCATTGTCCCTTGGTCTCATTTTTGACTCATAAGCATTCAGCTACTAAGTTTGTTGACAGTAAAGATTTATTTTCCATCAACTCAACAAAATTTTATTTGCAAGACTGCTAGAGCAAACCATAATAGTTTCCAAAACGATGGTGTCAGTTCAGGTATCAGGGAGTGATAGTCACAAGGGTTCTAACACTATTTGATGTGAATTTGTGTTTGTGTTTTGTTTTGTTTTGTGTGAAGGTAAGGATCAAGCCTTGGGCTTTATAGTTACTAGGCAACTACTGTACCGCAGATCTGGATCTGTTCCAACCTCTATCTAATGAGTATTTTTGATGAAGGGTCAAATACCATAATGAATCTGATTTTTAAAAATAAAATAGAAATATGATAGGACTCTGCTTATTTTATACATACCCCAGACAATGTCAACCATGTTATGGACTTACAGTTCCTATTTGATGGTGAATCTCATAGGCAGCTGAAGATAGCATTCTCTTCAAATTTTAACGAGCCTTATCTGTGCTCTCCTGTGAGTTTGGACTTGAAACAATCTCATACATTTCTAGAAATACAACCAAAGTTGTATTTCTAGAAACCTGTCCTTGCTGTGATAATTAAAGCCTATGAAAAGAGTCCCAATGTTGATGAACTTGAGTCTACTCATTTTATTCTCAAAAAGACCAAGAACTAATATTCTATCATATTTTCATACTCATATAAATTAGATGACAATAGTGGAATTATAATCCAAATCTTATATTACCCAACAAAAGCTATCTGCCAATCTGGAAATAAATAGAAAACACCAAATTCTGAGATTTAGTACCCTCTGGGGGGAAAAAAAACTTTGTCTGAGATCCAGACCCAGGACTGGTTTTTTCCCACTGGCAACAAGTTTTGCTTCCAAATAGATCAACCCATCAATCAAATTTCAGAATCAAAAGCATTGTCAGTATTTTCTCTTATTCTGAACAACACTTGATATGTGGACTGCATAATTTGAACTAGCAAATTCCATACCTCCCAGTTCCCGGTTTCCTCTCCCTGATAGTACAAGCTGGTGCTCATACACACTTGTCAGAAAACATTTTGGCTTAAAATAATTTCATGGAATACCAAAGTTTTTATTTCAGAAATCTGCTTATTGTGTGTTGGATGCAATTTTTGTACGTTCACAGGATTATAAGACTATCCTGGTTTCAATCTCACAACCGTAGTTGGTCTCTGTCTCCCCTGAACATATCAGTGGATTGCTATCTTCAGTCTCTCTTTTTAATAAATGGGAATTAAACAGATGCTGTCATTTTTTCAAGCCTTTTCGTAGGAACTATAAGTCTCCTCTCCAGGCAAGATGACAGCAATGAAACTCAGGAGGTCAGGATGAGAGATAGTTGGTAGTAGCACTGTTCTGTTAAAACTAGATTATTAATATATATACATATATATCACATATATATGTGTATATATCATATATATACGTATGTATATCATATATGTATATATGTGTATATCATATATACACATATATACATATGTATGTGTATATGTGCATAGTGTGTATATGAGAGGGAGGGAGAGAGACAGAGAACTAGAAAACTCAGTAGCCCATTTAATGTAACAATGGAAAAAATCCATTTTTGAAGCATCTGGGGACACAGAAAGACATTTTATTGATATCCTAGATGTGTGGGGTAATTGAGGTTTCTTCTACCATTAGTGGCTGCTAACAACAAATCATTTGTAGAGAACATAAAGGGCTCTATTTTCCACCTTTGTCTCCAGGGAGCGGCCCCATCTTGTCAAAAAGTAGTGGTAAGATGGCTTGTTTGCCTCTGCTGGACCTCACTACCAGATGCCACACAATTAACTCCCCACTGGTTTCCTGTTTACACTTCCATCTGTGCTCCTGAGACTGTCATGTAGTTCTGATCATTCTAGACACTGCTTTGTTCTCAAAGAGAATAAATACAAAATGACACACTCAAAGAGCAAAAAGAGTAAAGATTTGAGAAGAGCAAACATGACCATTACTATTGGTCTCCTCTCTGAATGAACGAGATGTGTGATGGTCAGTACTATCAACTTGACAGCGCCTAGAATCACGGAGAAGATGAGCCTCTGGCATACTTGTGAGGGATTATTTAGATTGACTTAAGTGAGATTGAGAGACCCATCCTGAATGTACACAACACCTTTCCATGAGCTGGAACCGAAGACTGCTCTAAGTTTCTGCTGCCATGACCTTCCCACTCTGTTGGACTAGACCCTCAAACTGTGAGCCAAAATTAACCCTTCTTCCTTAAGTTACTCTCTTGTCTGCTATTAAGTCACAACAACAGGAAACGTAACTCATACAGGATGTAAATGAGAAAATTTAATAAATACTGCCCCCATGAATGAGTTCACAATCTGTACTCAAAACATGTCAATCAGCTCTCCTTCACTGTTACAGACTATTGCAAATGATATGGGGGGCTCAAGGTCCTAAGAGTTCAGTGCATTATTGCTTGGCTGTTGTTCCTGGGCCTGAACATTATGGCAAAGAGAACATGATCCAACAAGCCTGCTCGCTTTATGGTGACCAGGAAACAGAGATCGAGAGAGGAAAGGGCCGAGCAAGGTATAAAATAGTCCCTTCAAAGACTGTGGACCATGGCTTACTTCCTCCAACAGAGGAACAGAACCCAATCACTCAGTAAATCAGAGCCTGCATGCTCCAAGTGCCTGCCCTCTGAACAATGCTGCATTGAGAGCTAAACCTTCAACACAAAAACTCTCTCCAGTTAGGTTCAAACCATAGCACAAAACTTAAACAATACAAAGGGTTGTCATTTATAAGTTAAACACAAAGGTGGGGGAGACTCATTAAGAAAGTCAACAAGCTGGGAGTATAGTTCAGTGGCGAGTGTCTGTCTGCTTATCATGCATAAAACCTCCAGGATAATCCCAAGCATTGCAAAAGAGCAAAACAGATCTAATAACTTTTTCTTCTGAATTTTTGAGACAGGACTTATCTGTGTAGCCCTGGCTATTCAGGAACTTGCTCTGTAAACCAGTTTTGTCTCAAATTCATGGAGATATGACTGTCTCTGCCTCCTGAGTGCTGGAATTAAAGGTGTGCACAACCACCACCCAGAAAACCTAATAATTTTTAGTGGTTTTTTTTGTTCTTTTTTTTTTTTAGTTTAGAGTCTCATATACCACAAGATGGTCTCAAGTCTCATATGTAGGTAGTAGCTGGTCTTAAATTCTTGCTCTTCTTCCTCCACTTCCTTCCTGCTGAGAGTTCAGGCAATGCCATGTCTGGCTTTGAATTCTTATTTTTTTCAGTGTTAATCTCAAGGATCTCTTAGAGAAATGTATCCAAATGTTACCTTCATTTTTCATGAAACCTAAATCATTATGCCTTTCTTTGCAAAATAAAGAGTTTTTGAATTTATAAAAATATGAGTGATTATTAGACTGTTCAGAATGCACATAAAAAAGTCATTCCTGACCAACAATTGCCCATTTGACACAGAGGAACATCGCAGGTGCCTATCTACAGCAATCCATTGGATCTGGAGCAATACTAGTGTGTACTAATTGTTAAAATTAATGATGTATTTCAATGATGTAATTCGGCAGTTTAGATTCAAACAAGTGCCTAGTTCACTTGTTAGAGCAATGATGCAAATGCACACTGAGAGTTTGCACATACTTTCCCAAGTGTGTAAATGCTTTCAGGAACTTAGGAGCGAAAACAGGTTCTACTGATTCCTCCATGCTGATTATCCATCAGATCAACACAGTACTAAGCACAGACTGAGTGGGCCTGCTGTCTTCTAGACTCTAGAATCTAGAGGTGGTGGCCACCTGGAATTCACAGGAAACCTAATCCTCACCACAGTGGTGAAGTTAACAGACAGGGGGACTTGGTAGCTCATGAGGAGTCTAACTGGAAGGAAACAGCAGTAGTTAGTACCCATGCAAAATGGGCCCTTGGGAGCTCTTCAGCTAGATAAGCCGTCAATGAACCAGGAAGGAGATCTTCATGAGACACTGAATCTGCCCATGAAGGTTCTTGGACTTCCCAGAACCAGGGCTATAAAAAAAATAAATATCTTTTACTGTATGTAAGCTACATACCCTGTCTCTGAAATTTGCTGTTACCTCAAGTAAGCTAAGATCATTAGTAAATACTCCCCCAAACTCACCTTTCTGCTCTTACGTAAGTTTCAAAGTGAGGCCTATGAGAGGCAGCTGCACTACCTTGAGTTTGAAGTCCTTCCATGGGTCAATCCTCTTTGCTACAAAAGAGCTAAGAGCCAGAGGATGCAGAGGAATGCTGGGAAATGATGTCTTCTGGACATGGCATTGCTGTAGCACACATTAATTCACTGTCGCTAAGGTTTCCTGTACAAAATGGATCCGGTCAGCATTCCAGTATGGAGAGGGAAGGAACTTTTAAAGCTCCATTGCTTGCGGAAAAACTCTTGGCAGTTGGCTGCCACTACAGTGTGGGGGAGACTCACCTTCCTTTATGGGTGGGCCCACTGGCAGGTTACCTCTGCCCCAGTGGATGGCATCATACGTGAACATACAGGCAGCACTAACTGGACTCTGAATTATTAAGAAAAAGAAAGTAGAGGCAAGAAATTTGGAGACAGATGTGTTGGAGGAGGCCTGAGGGTGTTGGAAATGGGAATTGGGGGTGGATATGACCAAGATATGCTACACACATATATGAAATTTTCAAAGAATAAACAAAAATATGATTTTTTTCTAAAATAAATCTATTATCAGTTCAGGGACATGCAGGCAGTGGTTGGTTAAATTAAGTGCTGTGTACCAGAGGCACAAAGACATAGTATGTTCTTGAGAGTTAAAGGAAAAGTGTTAAGATAAATGAACACATGCCCCAGATTTATGCCTTGGTGT